AATCTTAATGTTGGACCACAATCGTGGGCATTGTGAAGATCTCCTACATCAGTTATTAATTTGATCAAAATATTCTTTATAAGGCTTTGACAATCCTATATTGAGCTTGCATTTAGGTCTATCCTTTTCTGATAGTAATACTTGTACATGACCTAATTAGCAATATAAATAGGAGTTGTAGATATCATTGTCAAGGTTTTTTAACAACGCTGGTTGGTGAACAGTTGAAACATTAGTTCAAGATTCAATTGTTCTAACCTAATTGAACCTATAATAATTAAATTATATATATATATATATATTAAACAATATTATTAAATAACTGTTGATAACTTCATACTCAAAGTATTAAAAGTTAAACATCAATTATAATAACATTACTCATAACTTAAATATTAAAACATGAAATTGGATTATATCCATCATAACATTTAAGTTCAACTACATTTAGAAACTAAATAAATATGATTGACAAACTATAATCATCATAATATTGAACTAAAATGGTATCAGTCATCATAATGGTAGTTTTATAAGTAAATTTATAAGAACTATTCGATGAACTGGTTTTACAATCGTTATTTGTAATGCCCAGTTTTAATGACTGGCTCCGGGTTTGATTAATCAGTTTGGTGTGCTTGACAAATATGCTTTATGCTGTTACAGTTACCGAATATATTTGAGCTTTATTACTTGAAACCGATTTTCTCATTTCCTGCTTCCATATTCTTGAAGCTATCTATAATTCAACATCATTGACGTCTTTATTAAAATATGATTCTATATATTCTATTCTTATATGGTCTAAATATTGTCTGTCTTGTGAAAATGTTTGCAGGCTGTTTTTAGTTTTATCACAATGCAACTACAGTTGTGTTCTGTCTTCTTCACGTTCTCATTGGGAACTAGAACTCATTATTTTGGGCGTACCATTCTCCATGGGGGTGCAAAAGTATGTTTCTTGTTATTGTGTTGTTGTTTTTTGTTTAGGGAAGCTCAAATATATAGTTGTTCTGAGTGACTAGATTTGTTTTGGACTTTCTCACCATAGTATCGTGCAACTGGTAGAGGCTTTGTTGTCCGTCACATAAAGTTTGCTGAAAATTACAGACTATATTCTAGGAGCCACTTTGTCAAAGCGTGAGTAATTCTTTTCTTGATTATAATTTCTTCTTTTGGTTGAGGTTGAAGGAAACTGCATTACATTTATTAATTATGTGCAATGCAACAGGCTTGAAGTGGCAACGCTTCTTATAGTTTATATTGCATATGGGTACGCAGAGGGAGGTGCTGTTACGTATGTTTTGGTAACTCTTAGCAGTTGGTTCCTTGTCATTTCTTGGCTTTTTGCACCTTACATTTTCAATCCCTCCGGTTTCGAGTGGCAAAAGTAAGTTGCCTGCTGTTTAAATTACTTAATTGGTTTTAATGTTACATTTTCTTGATAGTAAACACCTAATTTTGACCCTTCAAAATCATAATGTTGTTTTGTTCTGTTGATTAATAAATGAAAATGTTCCTTCAATCCTAGTTTCGGATGTCAAACCAATCCTTCTGGTGGACTAAATAGGACTAATTAGATGTCAAAAGTGGCATTGATAACTAATCTGATAAAAACATTGACACTGGAAGGTCTTCATTATGGAAGAAGAAAACTACTGCAATTTTTGTATTTTTGAGAGGGACCAAAATGGATGTTCTTAATTTTTTAGTTAATTGCAGCTAGATTTTTATATGGGTCTTTTATGTTTTTGGAAAGATGCTGAAATTATACTATTGTGTTATCAAGTGTTTATCTTTCTAATCTGATTAGCTGGTAAACAGGACTGTGGAAGATTTTGATGATTGGACAAGTTGGCTTCTTTACAAAGGAGGCGTAGGTGTAAAGGGAGAAAATAGTTGGGAGTCTTGGTGGGACGAAGAACAGGTTAACATTTATCTTTTCACTTGATTGTAATAAGTTTTGGGGTCAGAATGGAGCAATACTAAAGTTGATTCTGTCTTGTTATATTACTATAAAGGAGTAACTTAAATTTCCAACCATATAATCTCTGTTGTTTTTTATGTATGGCATTCTAGAATAACCTTCACGTGGACACAGGATCTATTAATTTAATTTCTAATAGTACTACTTTTTATGCAGTTGCACATCCAAACTTTGAGGGGTCGCATTTTAGAGACAATTTTGAGTGCAAGGTTCTTCTTGTTTCAATATGGTATTGTGTATAAGCTGCATGTGACCGGAAACGATACATCATTAGCGGTAAAAAAATGTTTTCATCTATGGAATAGATATTTATCATGTATTTAGTCATAATAGAAAACATAATATAAATTTCTGGTTTGGTAATTTACTGATTTTATGTTCTACTCATTTGTGAAAAGGCTTTTAGCTTCTAGCATTTCATTAATTAAGAGCTTATATATTGTCTTGTTATTTTTTGTAGCTTTATGGATTCTCTTGGGCTGTCTTGGTTGGCATTGTCTTGATATTTAAGGTTTGGACTTTCCCTAATAATTTGATCTTTTTCACAATTTCTGTTGTTGTCGGCAGCATTTTTTATCTTTAACGTTCTGATATGCTTTGCAGATCTTTACATACAGCCCAAAAAAGTCTGCCGATTTTCACCTAGTGCTTCGATTTACCCAGGGAGTTGCATCTATAGGCCTTGTTACAGCTGTGTGTCTTGTTGTTGCCTTTACTCCACTGTCAATAGCTGACCTTTTTGCAAGCATCCTTGCATTTATCCCTACAGGATGGGGAATATTGTCTGTGAGTTCTGATCACCTATGTTTAAATTATCTCATGATAATAGATTTGTGTTGAAAAGCTACCTTAACTACAGCTTAGTATTAGTTATTAGTGATTAGAAAAGGGCCCATGTGTTTGGTGCCTCTCTATCGTTATTGAATTCTGCATTTAGATTTGTCTCACATGATTTGCCCATATAATACTTTCAAATGACAAGGGCTATTAGGGTGTATCATTCATATTCCTAACAGGAAAAACCAATCCTTAATGGATGGTATAAATTCCAAAGGTCTTACAGAAAAATTCTCATAAGGAATGCATTATTATGTTGTAGTTATGGTCTTACGATCTCAGTTATTCTTCCTCAATTGCTAATTTAATTGTGCTAAAGCTCCGAAATAGTACTGCAAAACTTGTCACTCCTATTTTTGTGCTTACCAGTTTGTCACTGTCCTTTCAAAATTCCTTTTTCGTAGGTGAATCACACTACTTTATGTCTACAAACACTTGTTTAAATCTTTTAGGAAGAGTCAGTGGACCCTGATGACTTTAATTTTTTTTTTTTTTTTTTTTGGCATCATTTCTTGCATTTGAAGCATGTTTTAGTTTCTAACATTTGTAAAATTTTCTACTCTTTTCAGTTGGCAATTGCATGGAAGAAGATAGTTTGGAGTCTCGGCTTGTGGGATTCTGTCCGTGAGTTCGCTAGAATGTATGATGCTGGAATGGGTATGATCATCTTTGCACCGATAGCATTTTTATCTTGGTTTCCTTTCATTTCCACTTTCCAATCTCGCCTTCTATTCAATCAAGCCTTCAGTCGTGGTCTTGAAATCTCTCTCATCCTTGCTGGAAATAAAGCCAATGTTGAGGCTTAGCACTTTTTATCATACATTGTATCCCTGCGGTGCTTGTATATTATAGATGTATATTATTTTGTAGTTAAGTGTTGAGTTGTTGTACATTAGTCTAACAAACAAAATGAAAGATACTTTTTGAATGGATTTTTGTTAGTTTTGTCTTGATTAGTCATAGGCATTTTTCTGCGGTGTTTGTTTTCCTATGTTGCAGTTCCTTATCATATCAAGCTTCATTTTTTTATCAAAATATATTTATTGGCTTGTTTTAAATATATATATAATACAACAGCTTTTGTCTAATTCATTTTTTAGTGTAAAATCAATTTAGATTCCATACATTCATTGATCTCCACTCACACTTGCCCTAGTTTTTTTTTTTTTTTTTGGTCTTTAAACTTTATCGTTCACATTCAGTTAATTTTAATTTATTATGTTTATGTTCTTTTCTGTTAGACTTACCATTTCCTCTTCTTTTTTTTAACTTCTATTACTAATTTCATGCTCTTAAGTTGATAGTGATTGTGATTTATAATGAATCTGTCTGCGTTTTATTTTTAGTATTAATATGGGATATAAAATTGTTATGTATTGGAAAACATTACCATATAAATATTATTACAATTTGTATTTTTAAATAACCGTAAGACTTATCATATTCAACATTATTTATAAGTATCGTCACATTATTTGTAATTTATAAATAAAAGTTAATCACAATAACACTCTATTGATAACTATTAAAATTATGAAAAAAAAATTGTTTTTAAATATTTTATATCAGAAAAGGTATTTGAGTATATTTGGCATTGTTTTGTCCGACAATACGTATGAGCGTCACATAATAATACTTAAAATATAATTTATTATTGACAATGTTTATAAAATATCATAGAATTTAACAATCATTGAAAATTTCTATTTCAAAGAAGTCTTACTACCACGATTCCTAATTTTCAAGAAAAATTGTGCAAAAACAAAGATCGTAAGGCTTCCTATTTTCTTAATATAAATAAGAAATGCAAAAGAAAAATTTATATCCCTACGGTTTGATAATTTGTTGATTGATAATACTGAAGGAGATTAAAAGTTGGATGACAAATCGATTTTAACAATATTGATTAATTAAAAATGCACTCTACATTATCTTCCTATTTAACAAAAATAATAATAATTGAACCTTTGGACATTACTTTAAATTTATCATAGTACAAAATGAGAAAATTCATATTCAAGCCCATAATCTAATAATTAAAATAAAATATAAAAAAATCTACATATTAGTTAATATATTAGTCTATATCACATTACATAACTCCTACAATTTAATAAATTTATCATACTTTTTATTACAACATAGATATGCATATTCAACAAAAAAAAAAAAAAGTTTATAGAGACAGTTGATTCGCATCACTAACGCCGCCTCCATTTTCTGCTACATCAACACTAACTGAATTTGAGTACGAGGATTGTTGATCAAGTCCAGCCATTGATGAGGGTGGTGGGTGGTCGAACTTACAAGCTGGTCCAAATTTGCAAATTCCATACCGGCTGTAATACGTGCACACATTCTGGTCCTGAATGTTTATAATTCATTTAGCATAGATTAAGTAAACCTGCATGCCTAACTTGTGTAATATTCAATCAGAAAAGAAATCTCTAAATTTTATAACTATTTTAATGAGCTATACTACCACAATCACCTCATGTTTAAACTTAGAAGAAGTTGTTCATATGTGCATATCAACCAAAAAGGGATTTCTACTATTAGTTGCGTGGTACACTCTTAAACATCAGGATGAAATTTTTCATTTTCCTCATAAAAGAAACTCTTAATCCTTTATCCTCATTTTTAACGGGCGGGGCAGGGGCGGGTTTTGCCTCCCCGATCCCCACCCCCGACTTTTTTAATTATCCCCGTCCCCGATCCTCACCGGGGTTAAAAATTAAGTCTCCATCCCCGTCCCCGCTGGGTTTCGGGTTCCCGCCCTGTCCCGTCCCCAATTTATATTATTTTTAAAAAGATAATTACATTTATAATAAATTAATTTTACTATCCATTTTTTATATATAAATAAATATTTATAATTTATAATAATTATTAATTAAATATACATTCTAATTTATTATATTTATATTAAAATATGTATGTAAAAAAATATTTAATCATTTTTTATTTATAACATTATTATTATAATCCTGTATTCAAACATTTGATTATATATATAAGTTAATTCATTTTAAAAATATGAAATATATAGTTTATAAGAAAATATTTAATAAGTTAATTATTATTCAATTAGTTCAAAGTTTAAATTATCAATTCTTTTAATCTTTTAAAATACAATTATTTTATTAAGATAAAATTTGATATATGATAAATAAGAATAATAAGATAAAAAAATGACATAATAAAACCTAATAAATATAAATTATAAATAAAATAATATTATTTACTACTAAGATTTATGTAAAATATTTAGAAAAAGATAAAGAATAAAAAAATTAACTTTGTGTTCATCAAATTGATTGAAAAGATTGAAAAAAAAAATTGATGGGAGAGATTAAGAAAATGTGAAAAACTGAAAGGTAAAAGAGAATAATGTAATAAATTAATTGATATAAAAGATTAAAAAAGACAAAAAAATTAAAAAATAGGTATAAGAAAAATAAAAATTGGTGAAATATAAAAAAATGACCTTATATGTAATAGAAAAAGAAAAGAAAACACTTTTAAAATATTAATATTTTAAAATTTAAATTTAAATATAAAGTCGGGACGAGGACGGGGTGGGGATTTCATTACCCATCCCCGCTCCCGGTCAACTCGGGTTTTCCCGTCAAACTCGGGGCGGGGACGGGTCGGTCCCCACGGGGACGGATTTAATTGCCATCCCTAGTACTAACTGACTCAAGTATCCACCTATTTAATTAGTTTAAATTGAAAATGAAAGAAATTATTAAAATTGTTATGATACAACTACTCTGAATCCTAAATGCTCATATTTCACCCAAAGCATATTTGAGTGAGAACACGGGCAACACTTCTCTTGTTCAGAATGTCTCATGAAATAATCTGTCTTAAATGTGTAGAGAGTAAGCTAAACAGACAGAGCAGAACATATGTAACAGGCATCTTGTAAATTTTACAGTCTCCATGTAAGCAAAAAACAACATAATAAAATAACTTACCGGTCTCAAAGGTAGACCCTTGTCACTAAGGCTGCATGGAGGTAATCTTGCAATTCGATTCTTTGGATGGTGAAACTTACAATTATATTTAAACTTGCAATCCCCAGTTTTTAAGAAATAGCTGCATTCAGGTTCACCAGGCCTTTCTGGGAACTCTTCAACCTCCATTTGTTTTTGACTGTGCAAATAAACATTTGTTTCCATAACTGGGTTGTTCATGATATATGTTGAAGGTGGATGCATATTCCTCTCAGGTAGATAGACAGGTGCCTGTTGAAAACCCAAATTGATCAAATAGCCGGAAAACAACCAGTATAAGGGTTAAAATCCAGAATATTAACTTCACACAAAGGGAAAAGATAAAAAGAACCATTAGAATTAGCTTTAAGTCAGTCCCATAAAAATAGTGATGAAGCTGAGGAGTTTTTAGATACCACTAAGTTAAGAAAATGAGAGCGCAGAGGAAAGGGAGAGAAAATTACAGGAGAGAAAATAAACCTGAAGGAAGAAAGCATTCTTTGACTTTTAAGAAACTGATGATGGGCATATAAATCTCAATCCTTAAATGGCATAAACTCATGCCCTATTCAGTATTTACTATACAGATAACACCCAGGAATGATATACAAGTCTGTTAACAGCCAACTGATAACTATATCCCACCGTGCAATATATGTTGCAGGAACAGGGAACATTAACCTTGTATAAGTATAACAGAAATTGGCAGACTAGATTGCATTATATACTAATAATATAATAGAATGTCCCTAGCAAGATAGTTATTGGCATGAAAGCTATTGATTTACCTGATATCCATTCCATTCAGAAGTTTGGGCAGAAACCCCTGGATTAGCTGAAATTATCACCGGCACAAAAGGAGCAGATTCATTTACTGGTCTAGTAGAAGACCATGAGGATATAGATGATTGTGATACACCTTGTAATGAAACAGAACTTCCATTACCATAACCGGAAGGAGAATCACCTCCTCCAGATGTAGGATCGGGATGATTAAACTTGCAGTTTGCTCCAAACTTACAAGAGCCAGTACGCATGTAATAGTGACACTCTTTCTCTCCCTGTCATGAAAAACAACTTCATCAAGTTTCAGGGACAAGTATTTCAGATCTCAAAGAGAGACAAAGATAACATACACAAACTAACTTTCAGTATAACTTGCTATGTAAGAAATTAGGTTATACCACACGAATAGGCAGGCCAAGGAAGTTAAGCTCTACAATTGGAGATGCTGACAAACACTTTCCCTTTGTGTGATTAAACTTACAAGCTTTTCCAAACTTACACCCGCCAGACCTTAAATAATACTGCCATGACATCATGAAAAGAAATGTTTGTCAAGAACATGTAATAATAGTAGGACATGTTTAAAACATGACACAAAATGAGGTTAAACATATACATATACATAAACAAGCACGTTTTGTCCAAAAATTGTTATAGAGATCCAACATTTTTCAACATAGCAAGGCTAGGCCAGCATTTTTACAACAATGCCAAAAAAAAAGGCAAAAAGGAGAAGTTCATAATGACCAAACATATACTAATATAGCATCATGAAAATAACTCAGCCAAACTAGTATGCCATGATCAACCATGACAGAATCTTCGTTCATGGCTAATGTACATCATATAGAGAAATATATACCAATACCTAATCAGAAAATGTATAGCCAAAAAAAAAAGATATCACTTGACTATCAGCCATCTGACAGCCACTGAGTTCTGCATATTGATCATGGAACTCTAATTGAAAAATAATATTTCTTATATATGATTATATCACCCAGCAGAAAGGAAGGGTGACTTGGACATGGAAAGAATGGGCATAAACAGAAAGGAATGGTGACTAGGGGAAAGTGGGAAAGAATGGGAATATTTCTTTATGTCTCTTTCTCTTATATAAGAAATATAAAGTGAAATGGACTGGGAAACAATGGGCATAACAGAAAGTAACAGTGACTTGGGGAAAATGGAGAAATGGCCATAAGAAGAAATGAACCAGAAGGAAAATCTGTCACACAAGGACAGCCTTCAAATTCTGAGAGTAGAGAAACAGAGGGAAATGATTGAGAATCAGCAGAGAAGGGAAAAAAAAAAAGGATTTTGCGAAGTCTGTTAGGGGTAGAATTGTGTGAAGTCTGTCTGTTATGGGTAGGCAAGTTATGAGAGAATATTGGGAGGTCTGGTAGAAGTTGCCTCCTGTAGCTAGGACCCTTTTGGTAATTCTATTTCATTTTTATTACCTATTCTGCTTTTCTATTCCATTGTATTTAGAGAGGACTATCTCTTCAATCTTTGATGTTAGTGTCTCATATGAATATGTTATTGATATCTAAATTCCCTAGACTTTGACATCAACCTATATGCCTATGTTCAAAATTCAGATAATACAATCTAGCATTTGCTAACCAACAATAGTTTGGGTCTAGTGGTATGGGCTAATCCCCACAAAATGACAAACATGGTTGTTGGTAGAGTTGTTCATGGATTCAAACCATGTTTCGGTAAGATTGTTTCTTTTGCAGGATGCCAGTGGAAAACCAAAATAACAAAAACTAAAGTTTGCAACAGAATTCAACATCATAATTCTGAACATACCTTGCATTCCATCTGCCCTGATCTTTCTGACTGTTCTTCCCTTTCTCCAGCATTTTCATTTTTAGCCTTCATTTAGTGTTAATACATTAAAAAAGTCAGAAGAAGTTTATAAAGAGTGAACGTGTATAAGACATTTCTTTTACTAAATTGTCCACGAAACACTCTCAATCATCCTATACTTACAATTAACAGAAAGTTTTAAAAGCATATTACCAAGCAAATTCTCATAGAAAACTAGTACCAACCCATATAATCAAACTTATTATCTTCAACATATTCTATGCTTCACTTTCAACCTCTAATACCTAAATTATTCCTAACTATTTAACACTTAATGCAACATAGTACATAAGTAATAATATGCTAAGTAGAACATAAGTAATAGCCTGCTAACTACATAAGTAATAGTGTGCTAGAGTGAAACCAAAGAAAGTAGGACCTGGTTTTTCCTCCTAAGCGGATGATTGAACTTGCAATTGAATCCAAATTTGCAACTCCCAGTTTTGAGATAAAAAGCACAGTCTTCAGCCTCTGGTCTCAAGGGATACTGTTGAGTTCTACCACTGCTCCTCTCATCCCTGTTCTCCACTCCCTCGACATCTCCACCCACCTTCTCATTCTCACTCTCATTCACATTCTCAATCCAATCACACCCCTCATCCCCACCATTCCAGCCATCATCATCAACATCACCATCAACAGCAGCATCATCATCACCACCACCATCATCACACACTTCTCCCTTACCACGTTCAGGTGCAGCACCTTGATCACTCAAATTTTCATACCCATCTTCCAAGTTCGAACCTTTATCCTCACTCTCACCCTCATCCTTTAAATCCAACTTGTCCTGAAACTCCCCACCAAGTGCATCATCACCCTCGGCAACGTGATTGAGATCTGAGGGTTGAGGATCCTGTTCGAGGGAGTGAACAGGGGAAGAAGTTTCCCCCAACTCGTCCTTGGTGAGGGAACTAACTGTTTCGGATTCAAAGGGCTCCATTGCTGTCCCTCCACATTTCAAATGAAAAACCCTAATAATGGAGAAATGGATTGAATACTGAAACAAACAAGAGTGTATGAGAAACAATAGGATTTATTTATGTAGGAAAATCATAAAAAAGGAGAATGAACAAAGTGTGAAATAAAAAGGGGTTACTTTTTTGTTATGGGTGAACAAATGGGAATGGTGTGTTTGGTATTCATTACTTGGGCACTCCCTTCTGTATTGTTTGTATGGGTGCATGTACCTTCTCATAACACTACGTATTGGTATTTGAATACAGTGCATAAGACCGCCATGGCACATTTGGATCAAAATAGGTTCTCATCATACAAAAATATCTTCTATTGTTTTCAAACCTTTAACCTCCACTTGTTGTTTAATGTTCGGGTTTTATTTTTATAAATGAAAAATTAAAAAAAAATACAATTTTATGAGTTTAAATTTATGAGGATTGATGTATTATATGAAAAATGGTATAAAGGTAATTAACAGAACAAATTATGAATTTTAAGATTGATTTAATAGGTAAGATCAAATAAATAATCAGTCAATAAAATAAGAACATGATACGCTTTTGCTGTATGATTTTTATAAATTATTTAATAAAATCATTAGATATTGTAATATAAAAAATAGATAAAAGGATAATAAAATATATGGGATATATAATATACGTGAGTAAGAAATATTACCAATCTATCATAATTACTCATTTTCTTATCAGAATATATTTTTTTAACTTTCATTATTTTTTTCTTAAATTATAAAAATAAAATATATTTTTTAATCTTTCTCCTTCAATTTCATATTTTATTTCTATTTTAAATTGAAAGTTATATAGAAATCAATGTAAAGATCAAATAAACCGTAATATTAAATATTTCATAATGAATATACTTAAATAATTGACTTAGAGTAGACATTTTTTATTTATAAAAAATCATCTAAATTTGCATGAAACTAGTATATTTTATTTGTAATTTAAATATTATAATTATATTTTGAATTATCAAATTCAATATTAATATCATGACAACGTTACCTGTTTTAATTGCCTTAATTAATATAATACTTATTTTAATAAAATAATACTAATTAAATCATTTTAAAAATTTATAAAATAAATATAATATTTTAATTTCATAACACACAACAAATTTAAATAGTACTTTGAAAGCATTTTATATTCAAAGTATACATAAAATTCTATTAACAAACAAGGTTACATCTAGAATAAAATAAATATAATATAAATTGTAGAATATGAATATTAAAAAAATAAAGTCATATGATGAGTAAATTATATATTTTATAAGAAAAATAATAATAACTGATGAAAATAATATTGTTTATTCAAATTTTTTAAGTTAAAAATTAAAAATAACAAAAATACTGTTCAAACACGTATTTTTATCGGGTTTTGACGGTTTTTAAACTTATATGATTATTTAAGATAAATAAACTAATAACAAACTGCTTGAAGTCGGATGAATTCGGATCAATTTTAAAAATAATGGTGTTAAGTTAATTAGTAACCTCAATTTCATTGTTTTTCAAATATACAAAAGCATTAACATAAAAGATACTTGTAATTATATATATTAAGAAAATGATAACCAGTATTGTCACATTTAATTTAATTATACAATATACATTTTGAATAAAAATATTTTAGAATATTATATTAAAAAAAGTCGCAAGATTTTAGTTTTAGGAATATATATATATATATATATATATATATATATATATATATATATATATATATGTGTGTGTGTGTGTGTGTGTGTGTGTGTGTCAATTTTCACTAAAAGAATGAAAAAAAATTTGATAAATAATGAAATATAAATAAATAAATAATAATATTTTTGTTAAAAATTATAATAATAAATAATCTTAAATGAGATATAGTGAATTTGATAAATTGATTTATGCAAATATCTTGAGGTTTATTAAGTCAAACTCTAGTGAGTAATGAAAATAATGGAAAATCTATATGAAAAAATAAAATATGATGGTAATAATAATTAAATATGTATATTCACGTAACAAGAAAAGAATAGAATAGTTTTATTTATAAGACTCTTAGATATTTTAAGTAGTCATTTATACATGTTTTAGTGTTTATTATTAGTTTATTAATATAGTGCTATTGAGTTGTGTGTTATTACCATAATATGATTAATTGGAGGAATATTTTTGTTAAACATAATAAAGATGGAAATTCAAGTAAATATATAAGACTTCGAGCTTAGAGTCTTAATATGATGTAAACGAATGCATTTCATTTATGTAATGAGTTGAAATATTTTACTTAGTGCTCGAGTACAAGTGTTACCATGGTTTATACTTGTGTTTTTTGTTTATCTTATTACCAACCCCTTTGACTCCTTTATATGTTATGATTGTCCCTACCATGCATTAATGAAGGATTTTGTTAATGATGTGTTGTTAATTAATGCATCATCACTAGATTTTTACCTTAAAAGTTTTGTCTGAGATTAGGTAAATATATTGGGTTTGAGTCATTTTGTATTCATTGTGTCATTTGATTTTCTATTGAGCTTTCTTCTTCAAGTTTTTTCTCCAAGTGTTTTCGAGTATTCAAGGTACACTTTGATTCTTAAACTTTTTTGATATCATGTCTTTTGGTTCTAATTCTTTTAGTAACTCTAGTGATTTTGTTTTCACTAAGCCATTGGTGGGTAAACGTGAAGTCATCCTATGGGCTATGAGTCTATTGAAGAAGAGAGTTTATCAAACTCCTCTATGGAGAAAAGAATTTCTCCTTCCCCTACAATGATGGTTATTACTACCATGGTGAACCCTCCTATGCCCCAAGAGCAAAAAACTTGGTGGTTAAGGTTGGTCCAAGCCCTATAAAGGGGAGTCAGAGGACTAAGATCCCTCCCATCTTAGACCTTGAGTGGTATTGGAGAGGTGGACCATTATTCTTTGTTTTTCCTACCTCATCCTCAGTGGAGGTTATTTATGAAGCTTATGGTATTTGCTCTTATTTTAATGTTGAGTTTATTATTGTTGAGACTTGTTCCTTTGTTGATTGTATTTATATGAAACTTGTTTTAAATTTTAAGCACTTTATCTTCATATGAGTGTTTGCTTAAAGAAATAGATATTTTTGTAGCTTTTACTAGTTTTGAATGTGATATGTCATCCATTCTTTGTGTCACCCCTAGTTAGTTTCACCATAATAGTTGGGTTTTTTTGAAAGATTTTCATATTTTATGTAATGTTCATTTAACCCTTAATGTGAATAAATTCATGTACTTTTTTATCAACTGGAACACAGTTAAGAGGTCAATTGGGTATCCCTTAATGAGTCCTAGCATAACGACTTGTCTGTTATTTACTCATTTGTTTTAAATAAAATGTGTATGGGATGACCCATCTCAAAGAATTTTCCTCAACCCAACCATACACCTTGTTTTCCCTTATATTGCCAAATATTTATTGTCTCTCAAGGATAAAAAAGACATCAAAATATTATCAAGTCTTCCACGTTCAATCAACTATCAGGATCTCTTATTTGTTCCTTTTGCCAAGGATCCAAAAGCTCAATTCTTGGGTAAGACACGTTTGATTTGTATCTTGAATATATTGTCTTTCTTTTTAATTGGCTAATCAATTCTTTTCATTTGTAGAGATCAAAGGACCCAAGTTTGATTACAAGAAAACTCAAGCTAACCTTGGAGGAGGCCTTACTATCCAAGCTAATAAAAAATATTGATGACTTGTCTTCTCACTAGATTCAAACTAAACAGCTTGAGATAGTGGATGATATTCTCATATTTGCTACTACTCCGCCAACCTCACCTCAGTCTTGGATTCCTCATCAGAATCCTCCTCGTCCAATGACATATGTGCTCCATGATCAGTCAATAATCTGGGGGTCGACTCCATGTGGCATCTTAACATGACTGCAAACGGGATGAGGTTGGGTAATAGCTTCCCTTGCTCCCATGACATGGGCATGTTTACGATGATAGGCCTTTTGAATTGCCTAGATTCAGTTGAGGTGATGCCAAGATGATGTATATCAATAGTTCATTATTGGAAGAACATTGTTTTTTATGTACACCATGGTGAAGGACAAAGGGCAAGGGACCTCCTAACATTAAAGAAACAAATAGAATACCTCCAAGCTACATTATCTAATCATGAGATGACCCTCTTTGCCAAGGTTAAGAAAAACTTAGGTCTTGTGCTACAAGTGGATGAGCTTCAATATTAGAATACTATCTTTATCGTAAGAGCTGAGTTGACAGAGAAATTGGCCAAGGATGTCGAGGTGAGGGCAAAGGAGGACAAGGATGTTGGCAAATTTTGGGTCATGTATATATATGATACATAATTTAAATGTGTTAGAACCATTATTTATTAAGCCAAATAATAAAGTGATCTGACTAAATTAAAATTTTTGGCTAAAGGCATATGTTATGAAAAAAATTAAAATTTTTGGCTAAAGGCATATGTTATGAAAATAAAATTGTGTAGAGACCATAGAACAATTTTTAATTTAATGAGGGGCCAAATTGGAAATACTAAAACTTAAGTAATTAACCTAATTCTGGTTATTTAAAGGGTCGTGGTCCCCTTCTGGGAGCACATACACAGAACGTAAGTCTCAGTTCCCGTTCCTTTCTTTCTATCCCCATCAAGAGAGAAAATCTAGAGGGAAAATAAAGGTGTTCTTTAGGTGGAAGACCATAAGATCAATAGTGCTCTACAAGGATATCATCATTATAGCTAATTCAGGTATGTTATCGCATTCAGTCTACAACATGTTTATGAGTATGGGATAATGTTTATGTTTGATCGTTATAATCAAAATCAGGATCATAATTATTATTAATTTTCCAACAATTGGTATCAGAGCCGCCCATACTTGATTCATGTCTGTCTTAGGAAATTTTTAAAAATTCAAATTCTGTTTAATTTATAAAATCTCAGTTACCATGAACCCTAAAAATTTAAAT